ATAGAATTATTATTTTACTTGACGTTAAATGAAGAATTTAAAAACAATTATTTTATGTCTCATTGAAATTTAATAATAATCGCATTTGACTTCATTCTTTCATTTAACACTTGAGCAAGTTGTGGGTCCGAAAAACTATTATTTCCCAAAGCATTAACGAATTTGCGGAGCGTGGGAGGTCGTGTACCGGTGCATTCGGCGTCGTTATCCTTTGATTGCGTTGTTCAATTCATTGCGGGTGGCGGCGCGGTGGCGGAAACGAAGGGGAAAGAAAAATCATCCGGAGTCAGCCCCGGAGGAGAGGGCACCTCCTCGTCGTCGATTGGTCGCCATTGGTCCAGGGGTGCCCGAACGGATCGTGGGTGGTTGCCCGCGACTATATAAACCGTTTCACAGGAAACGCTACATCCCAGTTGCTTCGCTACGTGTTGCTTCATCCGCGTTTACCGTGTCTGTCGCTTCCTGACTCGCGCCCGAGCAACCAACAAAGTAATCGCACTTTTCTATCGTGAACGTGTTTCGAGTTACGTATTATAAAACAGGATTAAAATTAGGGGATAACAAATTTCGGGAATCGCTGGTAATACGTTCGTAGTGTTTTTAAGTAAATAATTTTCTACCCAACTGTGAGAGGAAGCGAGTATTCTTAAGTAAATTATTAGTGCAACTTCATTTGAATATTACGAAGAAATCTTATTTTTACTTGTTCTCCTATAAATTGATATTTCATAGTAAAAATCGTAATTAACAGTGCTGAGAAGATACTAGATTTTGTGACTTGAACCTCGTAAATAGGTACAGGCTATCTTATCATTTTAGAGCCTGCAAGATTCCTGATAACAAACTCTCCTTCGAGGAGGCAAGGATTTTATCTAAGGGAAACAGATTCTACATCTTTCATAAGCAATTCAACAATATGAATAAAAGAACAGCTCTTAGATGAACAAATATTATTTTATATAACAATTTATTATATTTAGACACTGTCTCTTTAATATTTATTAATCTTACATTCAAGACGTTAGCAAACTTTAATGTCTGTTCTATAAATAAAATTATTCACTCAAATTTATTTGTCAAGCCACTCGCATTGAGAAAATACTAAGCTGCTCGGTAAATCCTTCCTCCTGCACGTCCGTCGATACGCAACAAGTGTCGCATTTGCTATTTTAGTTGTCCTATTTACTTGCTGGAGTTACGAATTGGTGAAGATAGAAATCTTGACCTACTGTCCAGGGTTGTTGCATCGGGAAGGCGTTAATCGGGCTGGAAGCCCAAAAAGGAACTGTCTGATCGCGGAGATTCTCTAATTCCTCAAGCTGGCTTTCTCGACTTCCCTTAATTCTACAACCACTATTCTATGTATTTTGTAGAAACCTGAAAAGGGAGCATCAGTTTTAAATACTGTTTTACTAAATTACTG